CTGAAACAGACACGGGGCCTGTAAGCCCTGGATTTCAGGCTTTCGGCCTGAAACAGACACGGGGCCTGTAAGCCCTGGATTTCAGGCTTTTGGGCTGAAACAGACACGGGGCCTGTAAGCCCTGGATTTCAGGCTTTCGGCCTGAAACAGCCACGGGGCCTGTAAGCCCTGGATTTCAGGCTTTCGGCCTGAAGGACGCAGGGCCTGGAAAATGGCCCGCGTGTGCAGGCGCAGCATGCAACACCAGCCCATTGGAATCCAACAACATTCCTCCAACATTGATTCACCAATACAGGCTGATAGCGAAGAGGTCAATCCGAAAGTCAAAATGAAATCACATCCCATCATTGTTGCTTTCATTATCTCGAAGTCCAAGAATGCTCGGATGCTTGGCATAACTCAGCAACGCTCTACCGTAGAGATGTTGCAGCCCTTACTTCTCAAGGAGATGCATCCAATAGACATAAGTCACATAACAATAAACAATTAAAAACACACATGGACTGTGCTCCAACATAGATTCACCAATACGGGCTGATAGTGAAGAGGTCAATCCGAAAGTCAAAATGAAATCACATCCCATCATTGTTGCTTTCATTATCTCGTACTCCAAGAATGCTCGGATGCTTGGCATAACTCAGCAACGCTCTATCGTAGAGATGTTGCAGCCTTTACTTCTCAAGGAGATACATCCAATAGACATAAGTCACATAACAATAAAAAAACAATTAAAAAAACACATGGGGATTGTTCCTGTGGAGAGAAGAAGACAAAAGCCACGTGTAAGAGGTACGTCCAGCATTAGAGCCAAGAATGTAGCCTCTGACGGGTAAGCTCCACTTCAGCACAGCTCCAATGTGGGACTTCAGAAGCCTAGCGGCCATGACTGCCAGTCCCCTCCACTTCCAGGTAAGCGTTGGTTTCTTCTCACACGAAATCTGTTCCATGACGCACTCTCCACTTCTGGGTAAGCCTTTCTTCTCACACGTAATCTGTTCCATGACGCACTCTCCACTTCCGGGTAAGCCTTTCTTCTCACACGTAATCTGTTCCATGACGCACTTCACTATTTCCCACACACCACTCTTAGCAGCATCTAATAGGGTACGGCACGTGCCCCCTCCTGGCTGGTCTACAGATGGACTATGCTGCTGATTCCTGATGTTCACTTGGCTTCACAGCTGGTGAAGGAGGCATCCCTGTCGTTTCAGCACATAAGTCAGCAAGCGACTTAATTACAATGAGGTAATAGTTGTTGGAAAGCAGCGGAGCTGGCACAGGTTGGAAAATGCAGTGAGGACGAGGGCTGGCTGGGTATAGGCTTGGATGCATCTGGCTACAAAACAGTGCTCAGCCTTCAACTAACTTTTGGGCGGCACAAATTATGCCTGCAGAAATCTTTGGGTCATTTCTCAGACTTAGATTCTCTATGCCTGAGTTCCGAAATGGCAGGTGAGCCTCAGACTGGAACTCTACTGGCTAAGGTGTTATGATCCTCACCAATTTCGAAGTACATATTCATGAGAAAATACAATGCCGTCCAATTGCAAAAAGAAATGAATGAACTTGAGAGGAGAGAGAGGGAAAGAAGAAGAAGAAGAAGATGAAAGAAAGAAGAAGAAGAAGAAGATGTAAACCAGCAAAGACCAATGATAATTCCCTTCTCCTTCGCCAACACTCTCCTCCTCCTTACCTCCTTTCCTCTTTTTTTTAATTTTTTTTATTTTTTTTATTTTTTATTTTTTTTTTATTTTTAAATCAGGCCCTTATGGCCCTGGCTCCGTTCCATTCTGGGGAGCAGCAGTCCGGTTCCTATTCCACCGGCAAGTCAGGACAAAGTATTACATCATTAAACACACTCAACGCTTCCTTCCGTCTGGCCGAAGGAACCCTGATCAGCATTGATTGCTCCAGCAACCTGGAGGATTGACTGTCAGCTTGCCTTACTTCCGCCTTCCCTCTCAGCTCCACTGTACGGACCTGCCAGATAAGTGATAAGGACAAGAATAGCGGAAGAACTGCGGGAGGTGAAAGGAGGCCGACTCTTCAGAGTTTTTCAACTCCTCCCCTTTCCTCACCCCTCTCTCTTGTACCCCTACTGTTTTCCTGATTTATCTCTTTCCTTAACCCCTAAACCCTAACGCGTCTTTATCTTTAACCGCCTGACTATTGACACAAGCTATGATTCCTCTCTGGGGCCACTACGCCTCGTGTATGTCTACCCTACTGCTCTGTGATCTTGCTGATTCCAGCGAAGCGAGATCTGTTGCTGTGTCTCTCTGTGGACAATCTTCTCTTCTCTTCCAAACCAGTCTTGGAGGGTCACCTTCCACGGTGCCAAGTTTACCCGTTCCAAGCCTGTTTTCGATAAATTTCTCTATGATTGCCTGCTTTCTTGGTGGATCTTCTTTGATATTCTTGACTGCCCGGTTCCAATCCACTTGATATTCCTGCCGTAAAAGTTGTAAAACATGCTCCCAGGCCTCCTGGGTCGATGTTTTTTGGCCATCTATCGTCTGTTTGCATCGTGTCTTCCATATGATCCACAGAGTAAGAGGGCGAAGTTTACGGAAGAGGGTCTGCTGCCAGGGCTCATTGTGACTTGGTTGTTCCATGCCCGTTAAGAGTGTGAGCCGGTTGTCTGGTAATAGAGCTCCAACCGCTGCCAGCCAGAACTCCCGTGTTTTGTTCCAGATCCGTTGTGCATTTGGATAGTTTAGCAGGCAGTGCTGCATATCTTCTAGTGTTCCTTCCTCGCAGACCTACGGGATTCTACCTCGGTGACATCTGGCGCTACCTACATCTCCCACCTCCTTCGTCTCTCCTCCCACCTTTCATCTGTGTATGTGTGTACGGGATCTGGGCATCGTCTATGCTTGGCCCAGACCCCACCATCTCACGATTGTTTGTGTGTGGAGTGAAATCTGTGTGAGTCAGTCTATGTGAGTCAGTCCGCTTATCAGACTTCCGCTGCATACATGCTCATCCTATATTGGTTGATCTTTGGTTCTGCCCATACTCGTTGAAGTATTCACGAGTATGCAACAGTTTTGGTATCGGAGCAGACCATTTCACGGATCTGCTCACAAGGTAAGTCTGATTTAGGAATAGATTGCTTCTTCGATCTTCCAAATCAGCTCTGTATTACTATCGAGATTCAAAGTTGCAATTTTTTTTCTTTTTTCGGTATTCTGTTTAAATCGGCATTCCGTTTCAATTCAGTATTCGGACTTTCAATTCGGATTTCTGTTTTACTCCGGTATTCTGTTTAATTCAGGTTCCGATTAATTGGTATTCTGGGTAATCCGATATTCTGTTTTAATTCGGATTTCTGATGCTAATTCGTTATTAGGTTTAAATCAGTATTCTGTTTAATTCGGCATTCTGATTTCAATTCGGTATTCCGTTTTAACTCGGCATTCTGTTTTAAATCCTGTATTTCGTTTTTGTCAATCGGAATTTCCGTTTTATTTCAATATTGGAAATTAGGGTTACGATAGATTTCGGTTTTGTTCAAATTGGGAAATTCGAAGGTTTTGGAACCGTAATACCGGAAATTCCGCGGAATCGCGGAAAATTAGGGTTGGACTCCGAAATTTTCGCGGAWTTTTTTTCTTTCCCTAAGTTTGAAAAATTCCAAAAACGGACTTACGCCTTTAAAAATCGGATTTTGTAGGTTAAAATTCCCGAAATTTTACGTTTTTCGAAACTTCGAGTGTTTTTCTTCCTAAATTTCCGAAAATGTTTTTTGGCAAACTGTTCGAAATTGTGCCCCCAGAATCGCAACTTCCGGGTAGTTCACTATTCAACGGTGAACTCCCGGACAATAGATGATCTCAAAGGATACCTAATCTTTACAATTCAAATTCGGGAATTATCATTATTGCAATTATCGTTTTATTGATTATTATCAAGAAGTATTAATTCATTATTAATCATTAATTTCGATTATTAATTCGTTATTATTTTCTTACTACGAATTTTGGAGTCGTTTTTCGGGGAAAATTATCTTTTTTTTTTTCTGTTTGATTAGGTGTCTAAGTCCATCATTGGGACAGGGACTGTATGCGAATTGATTGATTGTTCTACCCCTGTTCCCACTCTCCCTACCCTACCCGTAATCTGTGACCACCGGGATTTCTAAAGTACCACATCAGCTTGTGCTGATGTCGACGGAACAGGACACCGGTGCACTGCCACAACGCAGTGCCAGGCTCGCAGTTCGTAACCGTTCTGCAATACCTCCACGGCCTAAGTATCAGCAACAACGACTCAGCAGACGGACGACTCCAGCGGCATCAAGTACGGCTACGACAGTACCAATCACCACTGGGGCTCTTCCCGCATGTCCGGTCCAAGGGGTCAGTGAGCCGTTGTCAGCTTACCTTCAGCGGGTACAGGCATTTACAGATGCCGTAGCTACCGCAAAGGCACAGCAGGAGGCAGCAGAGGCGGAACGTCAGCGGCTGGCCAGTGAGGCGGCAGCCCAAGCTCAGCAGACTGCTGAGGCTGACGCCGTGGTTCGTGATAAGCGGAACGCCATCAGCATGGAGTCCTTGACTCAGAATGAGAGTCGCTGGACGACACTGCTCCAAGGCATGCTTTTGTGCCTTCGGATACACAGGCGGATCCGACACCGGCGGAGGAAGAAAGGAGTAACCTGGCTGACCTGATGCTAAACGTGATGCGGGCGGTAACGTGGACCAATACGATGTTAACTGTGCAGATACACGAGGGCAGACAGCTGCGACAGACTGAGCAGAAAGATGTTGCAGCCTTAACAACCGCTGTTCGCGCTGCTGCCACACATCAGCAACAACAGCAACAGCTGTTGAGCACCACCGCACGCGTCGACAGCATCGAGGCTAAGCCCTCAGCAGTGCCAGGCTGCAAGACTGACACGGCGAAACAGCTCAACGAGCGCATCGACCATGTCGTCAGTCTAATCGACGAACTCAGTGATTTCACCAGTCCGGCTTCGATCAGCAGCACGGTGGCCGCCATCAAGACGGACATCACCAAGCTGCAGTCGCAACCGGCAGCAGCTGCGAAGGTATACAAGATGCCACGCTTCAACATCGGCAAGTTCGAGGACTACAACAAGACCGACGCTTTGACATAGTGGCAAGCCTTCCTCACGGAAGCGTCCTGCCACAAGGTCCCAGACGAAGACATGATGAAGGCAATATACCTCCAACTCATTGGAGGTGCGCAAGCATGGACGAACCACCTCGCAGTCAACAAGAAAACCACTATCGCCGAGCTACACAAACACTTCACGTGGGAGGAGTTTGACCAGTTGTGGTTCACCCGTTTTATGGTCCGCAATATAGTGAAGGCGGCCATGAACGAGGTCTACACATGCTCACAAGGAAGCATGCCAACTCGAGACTGGACAATCAAGTGGCAAAAGATCGTGACCACGCCAGGCTTCGATTTGAGCTTTCCAAATCAACGATCCGAGTTTCTTCTCGCGATCGTGCGCAGGACTGCGAACGGCACTCCGCAACGAGTACGACTATGCCTCATTCTAGGCTATTCTGGATCGGGCGAACCTGGTCATTCAAACGGATGACAATGCCGCTAACGAGAAGCAGTCCCAGCCGCACTACGTGGCTAACCAGGGCTATCAACGACCGACACATAACAATGTCGTGATTCCTGATGAATTTGTCGATCTCCACGCTGCAGCAGCATCCTCGGGTGATGGAGGAATTCTTGCAGCGCTCCCGCCGAAGCGTCCCAAGAGAGTTCGGAAGAACAAGACGACAGACGCGACGACATCGACGGGAACTGGGCCGCAACCATGGACGGCATACAAGATAACCAAAGATGTATATGACCTTCGTCAACGGTACGGATATTGCCTTTGGTGCAATAGAGTCACTCACTTGACCGCACAATGCCCCGAAAAGGGCAAGGTAAGTGTACCCCATCCAGCGAACTCGGGAAACTGAGTTGCGCAAGGAGAGAGGCGACGTCTCTCCTCACTCGGCTGGAACCGGTTGCCTTGCTAGCAATCGATGTCACTACCGGGGAGCATGCGTTAGTCGCTGATTCTCGTGCTACGTACGAGGATTATGCCGCCCAGCTGGTACCACCACTAGACCAGCCGAGCCACGTGCACTTAGATTGCATATGCGCAGCCTGTACACCGTCGGCAAGTGATCCAGGCAGCTCGCCACTGATTTCCGAGGACTCGACGGGGTGGTCAAGACTTGAGGAGCTTGACCCGCTCACGAAAGAGGACTTCGCTTGGATGCCTCTACCCTCAACCGGAACCTTGCCAAGGCCGCATTGCAACGCCTTGATGGCAAATCTACGCTCCTATTTGCACGCTACAGTACCAGCTCCGTTGACGGACGATGGGGTAGCGGTTGTCGATCTCCGCTCCTATCTTGCGAAGATTGACCGCGAGTACGCCACCCAAAGGTACGCTGAAACCGACGAGCCTTTGCTCTATATCCGCATTCAAATCGGAAAGGCAACCTGTAGTGCCTTGATTGATTGCGGAGCGTCTCGCAACTTTATGAGCCAAGCCTTTATGGCCCGCGCMGRCCTTGGCCCGCGCGTTCGAAGGAAGACGCAACCYACGCAAGTTACACTCGCGRACGGCCGCACGCAAAAGTCAATTGACCGATGCGTCGACGGCGTTCCGGTATACTTTGCGCCACTTGCGTGCGAGCTGGTGTCTTTTGACATCCTCGACACCAAGTTCGACATGATTCTAGGCATGTCTTGGTTGCGTAGCGCCGATCATCCGGTGAACTTCCACGACCGAACCGTTCACATCCGTGACCGGAACGGAGTGTTACTACCATGTACGGTCGCGACCCCTCACACTTCGATTGCTTGTCACATGGTTTCCGTTGCGAGAATTCGCAACGCCATAGCTCGGAATGACGTCGAGGAGATGGGCCTTGTATTCTTGCACGCTCTCCCGTTGCCGGATGGACCAGCCGCGTCACCGCCGGACCCACGCATTTCTCACCTCTTGGACGAGTATAGAGACGTCTTCGAGGGTCCCACCGGAACGGTTCAGGATCGGCCCATACGTCACGGGATCACTCTCGAGACTGGCGCCGTCCCTCCGCGTGGATGCATTTACCGCATGAGCGACGAGGAACTCGAGGTGCTTCGCGCACAACTCGACGACCTCCTTGGCAAGGGCTGGATTCACCCTAGTTGTTCGCCTTACGGTGCCCCTGTTCTCTTCGTTCGGAAGAAGAACAAAGATCTACGGTTATGCATCGACTATCGCAAACTTATTGCACAAACCGTAAAGAACGCCGACCCTCTCCCTCGGATTGATGATCTCCTTGAGCGGTTAGGCGGCGCGACGTACTTCTCGAAGTTGGACTTGAAGTCGGGCTACCACCAGATTGAAATCCAGCCTCAAGATCGGTACAAGACCGCGTTCAAGATGCGGTACGGGCATTTTGAGTGGGTTGTCATGCCATTTGGCCTCACCAATGCCCCCGCGACTTTCCAAGCAGCTATGACGACTGAGTTTCGCAACTTGCTCGATCACAGCGTCCTCATCTACCTCGATGACATCTTGGTCTATAGTAGGACGTTGGACGAGCACATCGTACACCTTCGCGCTGTTTTGGATCGTTTGTGACTGGCCAAGTACAAAGCGAACCTCGACAAGTGCGAGTTCGCCAAGCAGGAGCTTGAGTACTTGGGCCACTATGTTACGCCGAAAGGCATCCGTCCCTTAGCGGACAAGATCCAAGCCATCGTGGATTGGCCGGAACCCCGTTGCACGACGGATGTACGCTCTTTCATGGGGTTGGCTGGATATTATCAGCGATTCGTCGAGTCATACTCGAAAGTGGCCGCTCCTTTGTCGAGACTTCAGTCCCCGAAGGTGCCCTTCGAGTTCGACGACGCAGCCCGTGGCGCGTTCACTACGTTGAAGGCAGCGATGCAAGCCGCACCTGCCCTCCGTATATACGACCCCACCCTTCCCACCCAAGTGACTACGGACGCTTCGGGATACGGTATTGGTGCGGTGTTGGAACAGTGTCACGAGGACGGTTGGCATAAGGATAGCCAGGTAAGTACCTCTGGTCCCCTCCTAGTCCTTGTCTCCCTCCTCCTGCTGTCCTTGCTCCTTCCCCAGCAGCGCAGCTCCAGCCAGCGCTCCAACCAGTGTGTCGCCAAACTTGCATACCGACAATGAGGAGGAGCACTTTTGCTCCTCCTGGAGATATGGCGGCCTGCTTGCCACTTGGCGAGTGACTTTCGCGGCCTCCAAGCAACCGGTACCACCTCCCTTTCTGAGGGAAACATCATTGCAGACTCTAATATTGCCCCTACAGGTCCTAGACTCAGACTGGTTGGACTGGTACCCGCCTAGACCTAGCCTACAACTACTGGGCCTCTAAAAATGCCAACTTTTGTCTTCTTCAGCTTGGCCTCGAGTACCCGGCACGTCTACCTCTACTTGGTGTGGTACCGGCCTACCTGCTACTTGAGTGTTTTCCGCTGCTCTAAGTGTCACGTGCCTCTTTCCCCGCCACTTGAGTGTTTTCCCCGCCGCAACCCGCAAGGTCACAGCCACAGGTAAGTACCAGCCCTTCGGGCCTTCTGAACGAACAAGTGCCCTTGCGGGTCACCCACACTCAAGCTGACAAGCACTCAGACAGGCATGCAGACCAGCAAGCACGCACACACACAGACTTAGAAAACTTAGCAACAAGCGGGAAACTCAGCAAGGCATACATTTCAGGAGCAAAACTCAGAAATCAGCTGTATCTCTCAGTCCGTATTTGGCAGGTCATTACAAAGGCCTCTGCTGGACTTGTCTGTGCATAGCAGACCCTCTAGGGTTCCTTTTTTATGTATGGAACTGGTCACCCACACGTCCTCCCAAGCCGACTGATTTCTTCCGGAACTTGGTCAGTGTCACATTCATGGTCATTCAAAGCACTAATGCCTGTGCACCATCTTTTTTCTAATGTTTAATTTGACCATTTGAGACGTTTCTTGATTTGTGTGTGTCATCCTTTGAACAGGGTCACGCTAATATTGGCTGTATCGTTCAGATTTCAAGGGATGTCCTGAAGGAGGCCTCACAGTGTTCTTATTACAGGATAAGTCTACATTAGTATTATCAAAAAGGTGCTACTCGGCTATACCTGTGCAAGACTGGGACCGAACTCTTCACCGTTAGTAGGTTCCTGTGCAAGCCTGGGGTCGACTGCCCTGTATTTCAATTG